CCAGCTTGAACACGTGGAAATTCTCAGTTCAAGTAATGTTGAAGGCTGGCTTGGAGAATTCTGAGCATTACTTTGCTAACATGTGAGAAGAGTGCAATCGTGCAGTAGTTTGAACATTTTTTGGCATTGCCTTTCTTTAGAATTGGAATGAAAACTGACCTTTTCCTGTCCTGTGGCCACTGCTGAGTTTTCCAAATTTGCTGGCATATTGAGTGCAGCACTTGAACAGCACCAACTTCCAGGATTTGAAATAGCTCAACTGGAATTCCGTCACCTCCACTAGCTTTGTTCGAAGTGATGCTTCCTAAGGCCCCCTTGGCTTCGCATTCCAGGATGTCTGGCTCTAGGTGTGTGATCACACCATTGTGTTTATGTGTGTCATTAAGATCTTTCTTTTTTTGTATACTTCTTCTGTGTATTCCTGCCATCTCTTCTTAATATCTGGGCTTTTGTTAGGTCTGTACCATTTCTGTTCTTTAACCTGTCCATCTTTGCATGAAGTGTTCTCTTGGTATCTCTAATTTTCTTGAAGGGACCTTTAATCTTTCCTATTCTATTATTTTCCTCTATTTCTTTGTACTGATCACTGAGGAAAGCTCTCTCTCTCCTTGCTGTTCTTTGGAACTCACTCAGATGGACACGTGTTTCCGACTCTCCTTTGCTCTTCACATGTCTTCTTTGTTTGCTCAGTATTCGTAAGGCCCCCTAGACAGCCATCTTACCTTTTTGCGTTTCTTCTTCTTAGGGGTGGTTTTGGTCACCTTCTTCTGTACAGTGTCACGAACCTCCGTCCCTCAGACCCTCTTCAGACCCTCTATCAGATCTAATTCCTGGAATCTATTTGTCATTTCCACTCTATAATTGTAAAGGATATGATTTAGGTCATACCTGGAATGGTCTAGTGGTTTTCTCTTTCTTCAACTGAAGTCTGAATGTTGCAATAAGGAGTTCATGATCTGAGCCACAGTCAGCTACTGGTCTTGTTTTTGCTGAAGATATAGAGCTTCTCCATCTTTGGCTGCAAAGCATATAATCAATGTGATCTCTGTACTGACCATCTGGAGATGTCCCTGTGTAGCGCCCTCTCTTGTGCTGTGGGAGGAGGGTGTCTGCCATGACCAGCGCCTCACTGCTTGGCCAGCAGCACTGCCTCCGCAGGCCGTGGTCGCTGGACTGTGTCCTCCGCGCAGCTCCCCGGCACAGACATGCTCATCACTGCCACGCCGTGCCTCCATGGCAATGATCCTCACTCAACCATGAGGTGACCACCATCAAGAACCTGCTGAGGGAAGCGGCGCAGCAGCGGGAGCCTGTCTGCCGCATTCCTGGCCAGTGTGCACCAGAGGGTCCGCAAAGTGCTCAACAGGGAGATGGTAATCTCTGTGGCTCTAGGCCAGGTGTTATCCCTCTTATTTGTGGGATTAGCTAGACTAGCAAGTACTTGTCAGAAGAGTTCCATGCCAGTACACCAGTCTTCCAGAGTTTCCTCTATTACATCCTTCTCTTCTTGGTCTACACCACCACTCTAGCTGTCAAACAAGTCAGAGCTACTAAGATGGCAGAGGGGGTGTGGGCTCATCTTCTCCTGTGAGAATTCCAAAACTATAACTAACCGCTGAACAACCATCAACAGGAGAATGTTGGATCCCACCAAAAAAAAAGATACCCCATGTCCAAGGACAAAGGAGCAGCCCCAACAAGATGGTTCAGTTCAGTTCAGTCACTCAGTAGTGTTCGACTCTTTGCAACCCCATGAATCGCAGCACGTCAGGCCTCCCTGTCTATCACCAACTCCCAGAGATTACTCAAACTCATGTCCATCGAGTCAGTGATGCCATCCAGCCATCTCATCCTCTATTACATTTATTAATAAAATGAAAACACTGCCTAATGAATAGGAAATATTTCCAAATCATTTATCTGATACAGGGTGTAATATCCAAAACTCAAAAAGAGCCCATACAATTCAATATCTAAAAGCAACCTGATCAAAACATGTACACAAGATCACAACAGATATTTTTTCCAAAGATGATATAGCCAACAGGGAAATGAAAACATGGTCAACATCACTAATCATTAGAGAAACGCAAATCAAAACCACACTGAGATATCAGCTCACATCAGTCAGAACGGCTATGATCAAAAAGAAAACAAATAACAAGTGTTGGTGATGATGTGGGAAAAAAGGAACCTTTGTGGATTCCTCAAAAAATTAAAAGTACCAAAGATCCAGCAATTCCACTCTAGGATATTTATCTGAAGAAAACAAAAACATAAATGGAATATTAATAAGTCATGAAAAGGAATCTTGCCATTCAAAATAAACTGGAAAGTATACTAAGTGAAATGAGTCAGAGAGAGAAAGACAAATACTGCATGATTTCACTTATATGCAAAATCTAAAAAACAAAATCAAATGACCAAACATTTAATTTTTAACAAAATCAAAACAGAGGTATATACATACAGAGAACAAATAGGTGGTTGCAAGAGAGGTGGGAAGAGGAATGAAACAGGAAGAGAGATTAAGAGCTCCAAGTTTCCAGTTGCAAAATAAATGAGCAGTGTGAGCAATATAGTTAATAACTATATAATATCTTTGTAGGGTGACATATTGCAACTAGATGTTGTGTAACAGGTAATAACAGTGTTGTGGGTCAATTATACTTCAAAAATAAATTTATAGAAAAAGAGATCAAGCTTTGTGGTTAACAGAGCCAGGAATAGAGGGATGGGGGAATTGGATGAAGACAAATGGTACAAACATCCAGTTATAAGACAAATAAGTACTAGGGATATAATGTACAGCACAATAAATATAGTTAACACTGTTTTACATTATACAGGAAAGCTGTTAAAAATAAATCCTAAGAGGTCTCATCACATGGGAAAAAATTTTTTTCTATTTCTTTACTTTCTGTATGAGATGATGTATGTTCACTAAACTTACTGTAATAATCACTTCATGATGTAAGTTAAATCATTATGCACTACACCTTAAATTTATATAGTGTGTTAGTCACTCAGTCATGTCTCTTTGTAACCCCATGGACTGTAACCCACCAGGCTCCCCTGTCCATGGGATTCTCCAGGAAGGAATACTGGAGTAGGTTACCATGCCCTCCTACAGGAGATTCTCCCAACCCAGGGATGGAAACCAAGTCTCCTACATTGCAGGCATATTCTTTACCGTGTTGTTTATCAATTATGTCAATAAAACTGGAAGGAAAAAAAGTACTGTCATAATATTTAACAAGAAAAGAAACAACGGTAAAGTAAGGATGAGAATGAAAATTGTAAAAATCACAGTGCTAAAAGTAGTTGATGTTATACTTCCATAAAGTTTTTCTACACTTAAGAACTATTTTTATGTACATGAACTATATGAAATTACCTGTGACAACTATAACTTTTAAATTTACATTTTTTAAATGTAAACTTTTCAATTTCATTTTTTAATATTTAGGGAAAATCAACAGGTGGAGACTCCAAATTTTTCACAAGTTTGCTTCCAAGGCTCAGTCATGTGCTACTCAGCTGAGGCTGTATCTGAATAAGTGACAGAAGGAGCACACACTCAATTCGTTCACCAACAAAAGAAATTTTCATCCCAAAGAGTATGATGCAGTCTTTAAGTTGATTAAAGATCCAACCACCCACTGCTGAGCAAGTTCTTCAGGGAAAAGTACACAAAGCTTCCATGGAATAGTTGCAGGCCTGGTGATGCAGGCAGCACACAGTATGTACAGATGGTACCTGCACCCTTCCTCGTTGAGGGAGTTCTCCCAGTTCTGCTATCCCTTCCCCTGGGACCTGGACTTGGCTTCTTCTGCAAAGGGATTTCCCAAACAAGCTCTCTCAGTTCAAACTGCCATTTGTCTCTTACCTCAAGCCACCTCTACACCAAAAGCGAATTATTAAAAGGCACGTATTCACTGATATATTTCATTTCTTAGCAAACAAGTAATATACATCCTTGCTACTCAAGAATGGTTCCTCCTCCAGCCGCAAGCAGTTTATAAGACACACAAAATATCAAGCTGCAACACAGATCTACTGAATCAGAATTTGCATTTTTTAACAGGAGCCTCAAGGGATTCCCAGATGGTGGGCTGCCGTCTATGGGGTCACACAGAGTCGGACACGACTGAAGCGACTTAGCAGCAGCAGTTTAAAACTTTCCAGAAAATTATTCCCCCCCAAAAATCTTAAAGATGTGAACTTTAAAAACATATATCCTAGGAACGGAACTATTTAATAGGTAGTACTGAACAAATTTTAGGTCACCTGTAGACTCAAAAAATTGTTGTAGGGGTTAGAGCTCCTTTTTCCAGGAATAAGGAGGGGTGTGGGATGGGGTGTTACCCAAAAAAAAAAAAATCAGTGTTCACCCTCTGCAAAGTTTTTCTCACATCCTGAAAGGCCTCAACGTGCATGTTGCTACAGGTGAAGGAAACTTAAGCCGTACTCAAACAAGCTCACGTTTCCCTCCTTAGAGAGGAGGGAAGGCTTTCTTCTCTCCTAGAGAATGCAATTTAATTTTACAAGGTTTGGGGGCTCCGAGCCCGTCTGGCTTCTGGCCCGCGAAGGGGCCGAAAGGTACCAGGAAATCGACCAAGGAGGAAGTGGAGCCCGGCTCGGCCGCGGCGCTCAGCCTAGTCGCACCCGAGACCCCACCGGGCGGGGAGGCGGGCGGCAGACCGGGGGGCAGCACCTCAGCCCCGCGCCCCGAGGCGAGGGAGCCCCGTCTCCCGCCCCCCGCCCGGAACGCGCACACGCGGGGGGCGCTGCGAGCCCCCATCGCGGCGGCGACACCTCAGGCCCGCCCGGGGGGAGGCGGCGGCGGCGGCGCGACGGGGGGCTGGACGCGTCCCGAGACGCTGAGGGGAGGCCGGGCGGGAGCGACTGCCCGCGGGGGCTGCACTGGAGGAGGGCGGAGGCGCTCAGGGCGCCCGAGCTGCTTTACGGCCGTCAGCGCCGTCGTCCTTTCGCGTTACCTGTGGCGCGGGAGGGCTCCCCGGCTCCTACGCCCTGAGTCCTCCTCCCCTCCTCTCTCTCTCCCTCAGCCTCTGCCNGCGCATGCGCCCGCCGGGCCCGCACACTGCGCGCGCGCGCGACGTTCTGGGGGCCTGTGGGGCCCGCGAGGCGCGAGGCTGAGCGGGAGCCGCGGGCCGGGCGGTCCGCCGCGGCTGCCGGCGCGCATGCGCAGGAGGTCTCGTTTGGCTTTCTCTCCCGTTTCCCTTCCTTCCCTTTGCCCTCTTTACCTTCCACACCCCCGGCCCCGCGCTGCTGGCGCGCAGCTGGAGGCTGAGAATACCCACCCGCTGGATGTCAGACCCTCCTGCTCACCACCACCTTCCCAGGGTGAGGCCGTCTGAAAGGCTGCCCTCCTACCTGAGAATTTGCATTTCCTGTGGCCTGTGACACGGCCTTGTAGCTGAGTGGACTCCTATTCATGCTTCAGTACCCAGCCACTGTCTCACTTCCTCTCTGAGGTGTACCCTACTCTGCTTGGGGAGTCAGTGGTAGTTTGTGCATACCCATTTTAGTATGGGGCTTCCCTTGGTGGCTCAGCTGGTAAAGAATCCATCTGCAATGCTGGAGACCTGGGTTCCATCCCTGGGTCAGGAAGATCCCCTGAAGAAGGGAAAGGCTACCCACTCCAGTATTCTGGCCTGGAGAATCTCATGAACAGAGGAGCCTGGTGGGCTGCAATCCTTCGGGTCGCAACGAGTCGGACCGACTGAGCGACTTTCACTTCACTGTTCACTTTAGTATAACCCGTCGAGAAATAATACACGTTATTTTTTACAAACTACAGTACTAGGCTTGGATTTTATGTTACCTCATAACTTAGGACCGTATATGTCTTTAACATTGTGCTATCTCCGCAAAGGTTTGATGACTGACTGCGTAAATCCTGCGCTTTATTGTCCTCCACTTGCTTTTAGTCGTGATTTAAACAGCAGGATGCTGTTTGCTTGTTCCCCCAATTTGAAAGCCTTTGAATGAAAAGGCTTTGAATGGGATTGCTAATTAGAGTGGTAAATGCTTCACCTAGTTACAGAGATTTATGGTCTTTTATTACATATCTTCACAAAGAGCCTCATGGAAATTGATAGTGTTGAGTCCTGAAAACCAAGGCAGAGAAAGGTCAGATCTCCAAAGGTTAGCTGGCTTCAGAGGAAGGTCCCTGGTGGAAGACTGATGTTCCGAGAACAGACAAACCTTCCCCTTAAGAGGAGTCCCCTCATTGTCTGCTGGCCCTTTTGGTTGTCAAAGCAGGACAGGTTAAGTGAGTTCCTTGTGCCAGATTTAATCAGGAAAAACTAAATAAAGTAAAAACTAACTGGGAGCTCTGCCTAGATGAGTCACCATTACTGTTAAACCAGTGAATATTGACATGATGTTCAGCAACAGAACCCCTGTTGAGAGAAATTTTGATCGAATAAGATATGGCAACCCACTCTAGTATTCTTGCCTGGAAAATTCCACGCGCAGAGAAGCCTGGAGGGTTTCATGGGGTTGCAAAGAGTCAGACACGACTGAACAGCTGAACACACACACATACACACGTGTGACAGTGTTAACACAGGGTTTTGAGAAGCAGGAAAGTCAGAGCCTACTCTCATGTGTTTGCAATGCTGATGGGCTCTTCTCTGCACCTACCAGTGGATACACCTGTGGATGGATCCCACCCAACAACTGCAGCTGCCACCTCAGATATGCCAGTAACATTTCACTGTATCTAGTCCAAGGTGCATCTGAGGAACACTGTTATTTTGGTGGCCCGCACAGAAGCATGCCTCCCTAAGAGTCATGCTCTTGTGTAACCTCCTCTTGGATGTGGGCTGGACCTGCCACTGCTTTCAACAATTTAAAAAAAAAAAAATCTGTTCCAAGTCTAGGCCTTAAAAACAGGCTTTGCAGTGACAACATTGAAATTTACCAGAACCTGTATCAGGGAAAACAGAGACTATTAGGAAATCCCCCCACCTGGTTGTATTTTGGGAAATGGCTTATAGCAAAGAACAATCCTTCCCCCCATGACTTAGATAAGACTCTCTCTGACCTTGAAGCCCTCATTGTGTTCATGAGACCACACTCCCCCTGGGCTAAGGCAGGTTTCCTCTAATGGGCAGCTTTGGCTCAAGGATTCCCAACGGGTCTGGCCAAACTGTCTCAGAGCTGCCTGCACACAACAAAGGAAACTATAAGCAAGGTGAAAAGACAGCCTTCAGAATGGGAGAAAATAATAGCAAATAAAGCAACAGACAAAGGCTTAATCTCAAAAATATACAAGGAACTCCTGAAGCTCAATTCCATAAAAATAAATGACCCAATCAAAAAATGGGCCAAACAACTAAATAGACATTTCTCCAAAGAAGACATACAGATGGCTAACAAACACATGAAAAGATGCTCAACATCACTCATTATCAGAGAAATGCAAATCAAAACCACAATGAGGTACCATTACACGCCAGTCAGGATGGCTGCTATCCAAAAGTCTACAAGCAATAAATGCTGGAGAGGGTGTGGAGAAAAGGGAACCCTCTTACACTGTTGGTGGGAATGCAAATTAGTACAGCCACTATGGAAAACAGTGTGGAGATTTCTTAAAAAGCTGGAAATAGAACTGCCATATGACCCAGCAATCCCACTTCTGGGCATACACACCGAGGAAACCAGATCTGAAAGAGACACGTGCACCCCAATGTTCATCGCAGCACTGTTTATAATAGCCAGGACATGGAAGCAACCTAGATGCCCATCAGCAGACGAATGGATGAGGAAGCTGTGGTACATATACACCATGGAATATTACTCAGCCATTAAAAAGAATTCATTTGAATCAGTTCTAATGAGATGGATGAAACTGGAGCCCATTATACAGAGTGAAGTAAGCCAGAAAGATAAAGACCATTACAGTATACTAACACATATATATGGAATTTAGAAAGATGGTAACGATAACCCTATATGCAAAACAGAAAAAGAGACACAGATGTACAGAACAGAATTTTGGACTCTGTGGGAGAAGGCGGGGGTGGGATGTTCGGAGAGAATAGCATTGAAACAAATAAATTATCAAGGGTGAAACAGATCACCAGCCCAGGTTGGATGCATGAGACAAGTGCTCAGGGCTGGTACACTGGGAAGACCCAGAGGGATGGGATGGGGAGAGAGGCGAGAGGGGGGATTGGGATGGGGAACACATGTAAATCCATGGGTGATTCATGTCAGTGTATGGCAAAAACCAGTACAATATTGTAAAGTAATTAGCTTCCAACTAATAAAAATAAATGAAAAAAAAAAAAAAAAGAACTGCCTGCAGTCTTGGGGCTTTCTTAATTAAGCTTCCCTTCCTTCCCTTTGAACTTTCACAGGTGTCACACCTGCATCATCATGGTCTCTCCCCCTGCCCCTGCTTCCTTCCTTTTATCCTTCACTGGTATTCTCTCAAAGTTTTGTGTGTCCACTCCCATCTCGGTGTCTCCCTCCCTGAGGGCCTGAACTGAAACCTACCCTCATTCTAGGATTTCACCTGGCTCACCCTCAGGCTAGAGCTACAGGTCAGAGATACGAATCAGCTCAAAAAAAAACTAGCTTCTCTCATTCTCTGGTATTTTACATTTTTTTTTTAAAAACCTTTCCATCTCCCAGACCCACTGTTAAAATGCAGCTAACCCCAGGCAGGGATAACAACATGCTTAAAGCCTTTCACTATTAAGTAAATAAGAAAGATTAACAGTTACTTTGAGTACAAACATAATTGAGAATATAATACAGATTGTTATGTTAATAATAAAAATTACTAAACATGGGCCATTTGAGTCTTCCCATCCCCATGTGTTCCTATAGCAGATACTGTGGGGGCTGTTCATGTAGTTCTTAATAAATATTTCCAACTAACCTTCAATCACCTCTCCCTTCTCCCCACCTCAAATCCCCATCAAGAACCTGAAACGAACAAAGCCAATCAGTTTCTCTTTTCTAAGAGAATTGAGAATTGGAATTAAAAGGCAACTAGTTAGTCTTTGTGCATAGCTAGAATTATAAAACGGAGAAGGCAATGGCACCCCACTCCAGTGCTCTTGCCTGGAAAATCCCATGGACGGAGGAGCCTGGTGGCTTGCAGTCCATGGGGTTGCAGAGAGTCGGACACAACTGAGCGACTTCACTTTCTCTTTTCACTTTCATGCATTGGAGAAGGAAATGGCAACCCACTCCAGTGTTCTTGCCTGGAGAATCCCAGGGACGGGGGAGCCTGGTGGGCTGCTGTCTATGGGGCCGCACAGAGTCGGACACGACTGAAGCGACTTAGCAGCAGCAGCAGCAGAATTATAAAAACCCAATGGTGTAGGCCACCTCGTCAGTCAGGGTCTGATCAGGCTAGAAACCGTTTCTAGTCTCTGATGACAAACAGGAAGACACACGTCATGCTGTTGCAGCAAAAATAGAAATGAGACTTCTTTCTAAACTAGAAATGAGACTTTTCTGATAAACAAGGAAAATAAACAAGGAAACAATGAACAGGCTGGAGAAACAGCATCAACAGGCCTGAAAGAGTTAAGCAATCCTAGATTTATTTTAACTACTACCAATTCACAGTGCACTAGCAAGGCTTGTCTTTCACAAAATTCCTTAATCACGCTCTGACTCTATGTGAGTTATACCCTGCACCTGCTGTTCACATTCCCCCACACTCCCTTGTAACAATCTCCTATAGAATTCTTCCTTTCAGAAGGACGGTCATGGGCCAATAACCCCAGAGACAACAGACTGAGTCACCAAGTTGCCTGACGCCAGTAGTGGCAGTCTCAAAACTCTGCAGCAAGAGGAATAAAGTAAGACCTTCATTACTTTGATCATTATCACCTACCCCAGACCATGAGCACCAACTATAACACCTCTGTTAATTCCCCACGGAAGGGGTGGGACACAGTTCTTGAGGTGCTAGTAGGCTTGTTCCTTCTTTACCAGGCAAAGAAATAAAGCTTCTTTCTTTCTCCCCCAAAACACTGCATCCATATTTCCATTCAGCATTAGTGCACAGAGAGCCAAGATTATGG